TTTGTTTGTTTTGGGTTTTTGAGGCAGGGTTTTCCCTCTGTGTAGCCCTGGTTGTCCTGGAACTTGCTTTATAGACCAGGCTGTCCTCGAATTCACTGAGTTCACCTGCCTCTGCCCCCAGAGTGCTGGGATTAAAGGCGTGTGCCACCCTGTAACAGTGAGAACTGTCTTTTTGTTTGTTTGACTTTTTGTTTCTTTGTTTCTTCGAGACAGGGTTTCTCTGTAGCTTTGGAGTCTGTCTTGGAACTCACTCTGTAGACCGGGCTGGCCTTGAACTCACAGAGGTAGTCCTGCCTCTGCCTCCCGAGTGCTGGGATTAAAGGCGTGAGCCACCACCGCCCGGCATGAAAGCTGTTCTTGTTCAGAGAGACAAGAGTCCTGTTTAAGGACTGTACCCCCCGTCCCCACCCAATGTGGGTGGCATGTGCATGCAGACAGGCATGGACAGACTCTTGCCTGCAGGGAATCAGAGGCGGGAAGATCCAAAGACCTTCTGAAGTCTCTGTGGCTCCCTGGATTCCACACCAGATTCCAGCTGGGGTTTCCCAACATTGGTAAAGTCCCCATGCTCCCTTCATGTCCACTGTTTTCCGGGCCCTTTGCTGAAGAAGGGGTTGATTGTCTGTGGGCCCTCGTAGGGCCTGGCTGTAAGGGCCTGGAGGTCAGCTGGCCTCCCACGCTTTCTCAGAGAAGGCAGCTGGAGCCCAGAGGCCAGGAAGGCCAACTCACAGAGGACATGAAGGCTGAATCACCATTCCAATCATGCAGGTTTTGAGACCCCACACACAGCTCAAGTGGCTACATCTCAGCCAGGGGAGCCATAAATCTCCCTGAGGAACACTGCTGGGGATTGGGGGAAGGAGTCCTTGCCTACACCTGCCTCGCTGACCCTGGGGAGGAAGAGCTAGGTGGTTCATCCCTTGATATCCTAGTATTCGTGGCGACTTGGCTCTATGGAGCTCTGCCTATAGGGGCAGTATTGTGTCATTTTAGCAGAGACACCATTTATGGTCTGCTGTGTGATGGTAGGCTCTCTCTAAGTTCATTTGCAAAGGGAGGACCAAAGAATCGGAGAACAGCGTGACACACACACAGACTGTGGAGAGGATGGCTTGAGCTACTCAGTGACACTGAGGGGTCCTATGCAAATCAAAACACAACCTACTTCTCCTACCGCCTCCCCCCTCCCCGCTCAGCTGGGCAGGCACAGGCAAGGTCTCCCCTCCCCCGCTCCCAATTGCTCAGTGTCTGGCATACAGCAATAGCAAATACACATGACCTGAGGTTTTTGTTGTTTGCTTGCTTTTGTTTTGTTTTAGAGACAGGATCCCTCTGGGTAGCTCTGGCTGTCCTGGAACTCACTCTGTAGACCAGGCTAACCTCAAACACACAGAGATCTGCCTGCCTCTGCCTCTCAAGTGCTGAGATTAAAGGTGCGTGCCATCACTGCTAGGCTGAGCTGGTTATGTTTGTGACAGAATGAGGTACTCAGGGATTAAGTAAGCCTCTTGCCTCTTTTCAAAGCAGCTGTCACTCTGCCCCTCTTAAAGGGCTGCAGGAGACAGGCAGACTGTCCCTGAATGCCTGGCTCAGCAGCCCCCTCTACTGTTCAGGATCTGATCTGCACCCAACTTAAGGTCAGTTAGAAGGGGGTAGGGCAGTGACCTGCTTGGAAGGATGACTGGTTGGTATCGACCACTCCCAGATGTGACATTGGGGGAGCCCTGAGAGC